AGCCCTCCACCACGCAGCTCAGCTCGAGTTCACGCCTCCCGAGCCGCAGCCGAGCCCGAGCTCACGGCTTTCACGGCCCAGCTCCTTTCCAGCTCCGGCAAGAACACGTCGAGCCCTTCACACCCCGTTCGCACGCCCTTTCGCCGGTTCCAGCAGCTCACAGTCTTCACCCAAAAGCAGCTCGACTCCTCATCGTATCCAATAGATTTCAGATTTCTCAGCTCCCTCATCTCCTCTGTTGAGCCGCCACCAACAGAAAATAAGAGACCTAGTCTCGGTCAGCCCCAATCATTTCTTACATAGCCGAGAAAAGGTATTTTGGCTGAGACCTATTGTCCTTTATTGGCCGAGCTGATGGTGTTTAAAATTTAGTTAAGAGATACGTAAACGCAAGCTTAAGTTCTAATGAAATGTTAAAGAGGAAGAGAGGCATAATATGTGATGTTTTTGCCTTGAATTATTATATTATGCTGAAGCTATGTTATTCAAATGTTGAGGCTGGCTAAAAATGTCAAGTTTCAGATAATTAAGGCTCAGTTAATAAAAGCGTTAATGAAGGCTTAAAAAGTTTCAGACAAGTTTAAGGAAAGATTAAGAAAGTTAAGAAAAAGTAAGAAAGTGAGTCTTTGTTTGGCTCTGTTTTGGTTGAAATGAGCCGAGCCGTGCGATGTAAATTCTGAGGATGCAAAACGAGTTGTTAAGCTTTAATTTCAGCAGAGGTGAAGATTTAAAAGAATGCTGAAAGAATAAGTTTGAATAATGAAAAGAGAGAGCCTTGTGTTGAAATTTTTGGCATTGTTTGTTATGTTTTGTCAAGTAATTCAAACACTTGTTTTGATTGAGATTTCATGCTGAATATATATGAGTCTTTCAAGTGTTATTATGCAGCCTAATATTTATTTTATTTTATCTTTTTCCCAAGCATGCTAAAGTTTTAAAGTTTGAGGCAAAAATAAGTATAATTATTGTATTTATTTTCTTTGCATGTATAATTAAGGTGTTAAGAGTCCGCTTTAAGAACTAATTGCATGCTCCTTATGATTTGTTATGTTTTGAAGAAGTTTGATGCATGTTTTGACTTTGATCTTTAAGGCTTGTTCTAGCTTTGATTGTTTTATGTGTTGAGCTCTTGTTAATGCCACTGGATAAATATGTCACAGAATCTTGATGTTGTCTTTGAAACAATGTTTGTGTTAAGATTTGAATTAGTATAAATTGGTTTGCACTAGTTAACAGAGGTTACGTATTTTACTAAACATGAGAATTAGTGAATTATTAATGTAATGTTATGTGATATAAAGAATTTTACGGACGTTAGGCGAATCGGAACATTAAGAAATGAAGGATATTAATTAATCTAGATGATTAATTAATTCTGAAAGAGAGCCCGAAAAGTTAATTGCAAAATTAATTAACCAATCGAAGTAATTAATTTCTCTAAAGGGGGTAAATAAAAGTTAGATAAGGAAATAAGATTAAGAACAAGTATTTTAAAGTTGAGCTGAGTACTTAGCATATTCGCTTGAATATTTTGTAGCTTTAGGAGAGCAGAACCTCCGCCGGCTACAAGCATTCCAGCACTTCCACTTCAGCATATCAGGTGGGGACCCTGCAGTGGGTACTACATTTTCTATAATCGCAATATCCTAATTGAGGTATGTATGTAAGAGTTCGCCCGAACAGGGGCAATTACCTAGCGAATAGGTCCTTTCTAACTTAATTGAACCGAACACTAGTTAAGATGAGATAAGAATTCTAGTGCAGCTTTGAGTTGAGTTAAATTTTTGATGAAATTAGAATAATTTTCCCTAAGGGGCTTTGACCTAGAGATAGGTGTCATCATAACCAAGTGTTTCGAATTCCAGTTAGTATCAAGGAATCTAGT